TTTTTTTTTTTTTTTTCAATTTATTTATTTACCTTCACTTTGTGTTTGTGGCAGAGCTTTCCGGTATACCTCCAGAGACAATCCACCGCCTAATTCCCGAGCATGCTAAGAGGCAGAACTTGTTCATGGCTTTCCATTCGTAGTCCTCTGTGCCAGGACGGTTATGTGCGGCTTTCTCTTGTTGTACCCTACGCCATCTGCACCTCTTGTCTGTCCAAGTGGCTTCAAGTTTACGGGTATTGTTTGTAGATGAGACAACTTTCAGCTTTGATGAATCGTGTGCCATCACACTATTAAACCCATTGGAAAAAATGAGTGCATATTTATCGAGGGGGCTTTATGTCAGGAGACTAAAGAATGTTTTTAGCGAGGGATTAAGTGAGAATGCATGCGCACGTATAGATCAGTTTTTGTACCACATACTTGTATGTAAATGGTTTCATCACAGTTTGCATTGCCAGAAGCCTATCTATATATGTAGCCTTTGGAGAAATGCTTAGAAGATGTAATTTGTATCACTTGCTTCTTTTTATCTTTTCATGTGTTTTTCTTTTCTTTCTGGAAATTTGATCACTTTTGTCTCGTTTTAACCAAATATGCATCATGATCGTTCTATTTCAGTTCTTTCATTTAATTTTCAAGATCAAACACCCTAATGGTCCTTGTAGTTTTCTAGAGAAGATTCTCAAGGACCAAGACTATACGTGCAAGTTTTGTGTTCTTATTCAAATGCATTACATAAAATCTTATCCCAACACATGGAATTAGTCTATAAACTATCTTAACCAATCACTTCTCTTTGTCTAATATAATTGTCCAATAAAAGGCATTTTCTAGGCACAAAAGGTTTGTTTAAGTTTTATTTAACCAACCTTTATGGGTTGGTACCAATACCGAACTAATAGAATTCGGTAATCGATTACTGTTACAAGCAAGTTGGTACGGTTCAGTTTATTTTTACTGCTTCAGTTTTTTGTAAAAAAATAACCATCCCTAGACAGCACTTCCTAAATAATCACCAGAAAGTTAGTTTTGCCCTTAATAAATAGGTTACAGTGACCGAAGTATGTGAATTTGGACATACAGTCATCACTCCCATGTGAATTTGGTAGGGAAAATTACACTTTGCCCACCAAACTATGCGCTTTTTTACATTTTGCCCACTAAACTTCATTTTGTGACACTTAACCAGACGAAACGTCGTGAAATGTTGCACTTCACCTTTTACCGGTCACCGGCGGCCATTCTTAGGGGCATTTCTCTCTTTTCAATCTCTAAAACAAGGACAAAATTCTCAAATTCCAATTGAGGTTCAATTAAACGCGATAGAAAGAAATTAAAGCAGTGATTGAAAGAAAAAACCCTAGATTTGTTCAAATCGTGCCGAAAAATTCTGAGAAAAAAAAGAAGAACAAACCAAATGCAATGATTGAAAAGCTATATTTTCTTCAAATCGTTAGTAATGGGTTGACAAATTCGTGAGGAAAACGATTCATCCAGTGCGAATGGCCCGTCATATGGTAAGTTTTGTCGAGCCCTGGGATGATTTGTCGAGCTCTTGTGCACATTGGAGGGTCGATCCAAACATAATATTTGCAGCCATTCTGACAAGAAAAAAAAAAATTATACTATCATATCAATTCGTTTTATGCTTACCCATCCACTTAATTCGTTTTATGCTTACCCATCCACTTAATTAGGATTTTCTACACAGGAGAAAAAAAAACGTACCCATATATGTCCTCCTTTGTAGGCTGCATACCGCCTTCCTGGGTTGTTGTCCGTCCAATATGTGATCATCACCGTCTTCTTACCGCACTTGCAATATTCATCCAAAGCGACCTCAGATGTTTGCTTCCAAATCGCCTCTTCCGCCATTTCTTCAAGATTCAATTTAGGTTTTTGCAATTTGGGAAATTTTTTCTTCAATTTAAGATTTAAGATTAGTTATACGAGAGGATACATGTGTTCAGACAATTTTGTCCATGTTTTAGAGATTAAAAAGACAGAAAAGCCCCTGAGAATGGCCGCCGATGACCGGAAACAGGTGAAGTGCAACATTTCATGAAGTTTTACTTGGTTAAGTGTCACAAAACGAAGTTTGGTGGGCAAAGTGTAAAATAACGCATAGTTTGGTGGGCAAAATTTTATTTTCCTAATTTGGTAATAACGGTATCGTAAATCTGATTGACAAAGAACTGTTCGATTATTAGAATATTTTTCATGTTTTTTTAGTTCATTTGTTATAATACTTTTCTATTATCTTTATTCTGGCTGAATAAATAGTGTTAATATCATAATACATTTTAATATTATAAATTTTTAATTTAACTGTATTGATATTATTAATTACTGATATTATGAGCATTTCATACAAAACTAATTATTATTAAGAATTATATAAAAGTTTAAAAAGTCTTAAAAAGTTCACATTGAAAGTCTTAAAAAGTCTTCATAACAATCTCACAAAATCCATAATAGTCATTAAAAGTTGCATAAAGTCCACAAAGGTTATCTATTTTAAAAAGTCTTCAAAAGTCTCTAAGAGCATCTCCAATGCTCAAATGTTGTTGTGGTAAATTACATGTCACATCAACACATTAAATAATTCATAATGAAGAGAAGAGAGATAATTATTGTTACCAATTTCAAATTATTTAAATATCTTTTCTTACTTCTTATTTAATATTTGGTAAGTAGATAATATTGTAGATAAAGTATATTGTGCATTGAAGATGATTTATTAATTTCATAGTTGTGAAATTAATATTTTTCCTACATGGTTTACACTCTATTCAATTGATTGACATTTGTCATAATTTATTCAATAACAACATTAGAGCATTGAAGATGCTCTAAGGGCATGTACAATGCTTTGGGTCTAGTTTTGTTTACATGACATGTAAATAGATTTAAGTCTTAGATGACATGGACACAAATATTGAAAAATAATAAAATTAACTCCAATGCAAAGAGACTAGGTCTCTACTTGGGTCTAAAATAGACTCAAGGGTAGAACGAGTCTCATTTTTTTGTTGTCACATTAGAGCACCCACAATGCATTGTGTCTAATTTTATATATGTGGCATATAAATAGAATTAAGTCCTAAATGACATGGACAAGCCCAAATAAAGAAACTCAAAAGTTATTCAATGCAAAAGTAAAATAATAGGTCTAGCATACATGTCAACCAATAATAATGTTCTAACATGTTTCATTTATTAAAATAAATTTAAATGAAGAATATATGATGAGTGGTTGGGTTTGTACTTGGGTTCAAAATAGACCCAAGTGTGGACTTAATCTCTTTTTTTTTTTTTTTTTTATTGCCACATAAGTTAGACCATGTTCACCTTTAATTGCATTAGGAGATATTTTTTAATAGACTAAGTCTATTTCTTATGTGTCATGATATTTTATTAAGAGACCCCATGTATTATGGGTGTTCTTAGCACGACCTAGTCCAATTGAATTTGCATCGGAGTAATATTTTTTTAGACGAAGTCTATTTTTTACGTGGAACGTGTATTTTTTGGATAGAAATGTAGGGAACTTTAACGGGAAAATGAAAATAAGATGGCTTAAATATATAATACTGAGGCCTGTGAGAACACAGTGTCCTTAAAACAGATTCGCCCCGTATGAGTGTCTGTTTCCCAGGATACAATGGAAAAACCGAAACAAATCCGGCAAACTAGAATTATGCCTGGACCAAAACACTTAAAAGACATATGGGGGAATAAGACTTTGGAAATATTTTATTTGGTTTCGTATCTCCCTCCTCAAAGAAGACCACCCTTTTTATAATGCTAAAATGATGTAACTAATACATTTAATTCAACATTAATAAACTTAAAGTTAAAGATGGTTTCAACATTAATGAAACCAAGTTACAAGTGTTTTCTTAAAGTTGGAAGACACGGTTTCAAATCAATGCTCCAGTTACAAATTTCATTCACAATTTTCCAACAATCCCTCACATGAATGAAATTGAAAAATAATGTTATGGTCCAACAGTTGAAACCTGCATAGGATAGGTAGGTGTTACCCTTTGAACCTTCCCTTGTGAAAGCACATCAACTTTACTAGCTGACCAGTAGACGCGATGTCTTTGAACTGTTCTGCTTTTTGTGTAAACGATAAATATACTTCACACAAGATTCTCCCTAACATATTCCAGTTCTCATTATTATGTCCATTAGTGGCCTTGGACATAGCCTGGTTCTGTGAGAGGGTCTAAGAATTGAGCCTCACACAATTCTCTTCAAAGCGGACCCACTTCTCTCTCACATAGGTGATTCTCAATTAATAGTAGCCCGCACTACCTTCTCATACAATAATCATTAAAAGCCAAAATGCTTATCCTACTCACCACAGGTATCACTGTTTAAGGAATGGACAATGGATAAAATCCCACAGTGATCACAAGAGTTTTTTACAATTAGGTTGTCCCTTTGAATCAAGATCTTGGGATCTCCAGTCAACAAGGTAGGGTTTCCATTGTATCAACTCATTTCTAGAGGCTTAAGTCCCATTCCTCTCAAAGATTTAGCAACCAACTCTCTATTTAACCCTTTGGTTAGTGGATCCGCAAGATTATCTTTTGACTTCACATAGTCAATAGATATAGTACCAGTTGAGAGTAGTTGTCTAATGGTATTATGTCTTCGACGAATATGTCTAGACTTACCATTATACATATTACTTTGTGCCCTGCCTATAGCCAATTGACTATCACAATGTATACAAATGGCTGGCACTGGCTTTGACCATTTTGGAATATCTTCTAGGAAATGGCAAAGCCACTCTGCCTCTTCTCCACTTTTGTCCAATGCTATAAATTCAGATTCCATTGTGGATCTGGCAATAACAGTCTGCTTAGAAGATTTCCATGATATGGCTGCACCTCCCAAAGTGAATAAATATCCACTAGTGGATTTAGAATCTTTCATATCCGATATCCAGTTGGCATCACTATAGCCTTCAGTTACAGCTGGATATTTACAATAGTGCAGACCATATTTACAAGTATATCTCAAGTATCTGAGTAATCTCACAATTCCTTTCCAGTGTTCATCTCCTGGATTACTTGTGTATCTACTCAGTTTACTCACAACAAAGGCGATGTCTGGTCTAGTAAAATTCATTAGATACATCAGACTCCCTATCACCATTGATTATTCGACTTGAGAAACACTTTCTCCTTTATTTTTCGACAGATGTTGACTTGTATCTATCGGGGTCCTAGCCTGAGTCAAATCATCCTTATTAAATTTTTCAAGGATTTTCTCCACATAATGTGCCTGACTCATAACAATTCCTTGTGATGTTCTATGAATTTTAATTCCAAGAATCACATCAGCTAGACCCATATCTTTCATGTCAAATCTAGAATTTAACATATCTTTTGTGGATTTAATAATTTTATCATTGCTTCCAACAATAAGCATGTCATCTACGTAAAGACATAGGATTACATAACCTTTTTCTGTGTCTTTAACATAGATACATTTATCACATTCATTAATTTTAAATCCACTTTGAATCATGACATTATCAAACTTTTCATGCCATTGTTTTGGAGCTTGTTTTAAGCCACACAAAGACTTAACCAATTTACAAACTTTATTCTCTTGCCCTGGAGCAGAGAACCCTTCAGGTTGCTCCATATAAATTTCTTCTTCTAAATCTCTATTTAGAAAAGCTGTTTTTACATCCATTTGATGTATTTCAAGGTTTTGTAAAGCTGTAATTGCAATAATTACCCTGATGGATGTTATCCTCGTTACCGGAGAATATGTATCAAAGTAATCAAGGCCTTCTTTTTGCTTATAACCTTTAATTACAAGTCTAGCCTTATACTTATCAATTGTTCCATCAGGTTTCATTTTCCTTTTGAAAATCCACCTGTAGCCCAATGGTTTACTTCCAGGAGGAAGATCCACTAGCTCCCATGTGTGATTTTGCAAAATAGAATCCATTTTACTTTGGATTGCTTCTTTCCAAAGAGGTCCTTCAGAAGAATTTACAGCTTCTGAAAACGTTTGTGGTTCACTTTCAACCATATAGGTTAGAAAATCTGGACCAAAAGATTTTTCTATCCTACCTCTTTTACTTTTCCGAGGTTCTACTTCAACATATCCATCTTGATCCTTTTCCATTATTTCCAAATTTCTTTTAATGGAACTAGAATCCACTTCAGACTTACGTGGAAATATATGCTCAAAAAATGAAGCATTTCTAGATTCAAGTATCGTATTCTTATGAATTTCCTAAATTTTGGATTCATGTACAAGAAAACGATAAGCACTACTGTTGTGTGCATATCCAATAAATATGCAATCAACAGTTTTTGGTCCAATCTTTATTTTTTTTGGCGTAGGTATTGCTACTTTTGCCAGACACCCCCACACTCGCAAGTATTTGTAGGATGGTGGTCTTCCATGCCATAATTCATATGGGCTTTTATCTATCTTTTTGCGGGGAACCTTATTTAAAAGGTAATTTGCTGACAACACAGCTTCCCCCCACATGTTCTGTGGAAGTCCAGAACTTAACAACATTGAATTCATCATTTCTTTCAAAGTACGATTTTTTCTTTCTGCAATCACATTTTGTTGCGGTGAATAAGGTGTTGTCATTTCATGTCTTATCCCATGTTGGGCACAAAATTCAGCGAAAGGTGACTCATATTCACCTCCTCTGTCACTTCTTATCACCTTAATCTTTGTATTTAACTGATTTTCAACTTCATTTTTATAGAGAATAAATTTCTCTATCGCTTCATCCTTACTTTTGAGAAGATACACATAACAAAATTTAGTGCTATCATCTACAAAAGTAATGAAATATTTATTTCCACCACGTGTCATGACAGCTTTTAAATCACATATATTAGTGTGAATTAAATCAAGTGGTTCACTATTTCTTTCAATAGTTTGAAATGGTACTCGTGTCAATTTTGCTTCAACACAAGTTTCACACTTATGTTTTGAATCAATATGGAACATAGGTATGCTTTTCAATTTTATTAACCTGCGCAGGGTATTATAATTGACATGTCCCAGTCTACCATGCCACACAATGGAAGACTCAAGCATATAAACGGAAGGATTAACATTTTTATTAATTGTCATCACATTGAGCTTAAAAAGCCCATTACATTCATAACTCTTCCCTACAAATGCTCCATTTTTAGTCAAAATGACCTTATCAAATTCAAACACTACACGAAAACCATGTTTGATCAACAAAGAACCAGACACCAGGTTCTTGCGAATTTTTGGTACATAAAGGACATTATTAAGAGTCAACTCTTTTGCAGATGTCATTTTCAGTACCACTTTTCCCACTCCTTTGATGTCAGATGTGGCAGAGTTTCCCATGAAGAGTTTTTCTCCATCCACAGTCTCGTCAAGGACATTAAACAATTCCTTGTTTGAGCAAATATGACGGGTAGCACCCGTGTCAATCCACCATTCATGTGGATTTGAGCCCACCAGATTCACCTCAGATATAACTGCGGCGAGGTGCATCTCATCAACATCTTTGGCCAAATTTTCCACTATGTGGACTTCTCGAGTTTTCTTTGGCAACCTGCAATCAGATGCCTTATGGCCAGGTTTATTACAATTATAACAATTTCCAGAAAATTTTTTCTTGAAAATTTGTTTCTTTGGCCCCATTATTGCCTTGTCAGCATTGCCATATTTTTTCTTATTATTTTTACTTGAGCTTTCACCATGCTCAACAACATTGGCCTTTGCCAAATAAGGATTAACCAATTTGTTGTCGTAGCACTTGTTGTCTTCTTCAAATCGAAGTCTAACAACAAGCTCTTCAACGGTCATCTCCTTTTTCTTATGTAATAAATAATTTTTGAAATCTTTCCAGCTTGGTGGTAGCTTTGCAATTATGGCAGCCACCTGAAAAGTTTCATTCACAACCATTCCTTCAGAATGGATATCATGCAAGATTATTTGAAGCTCTTGCACTTGACTGATTACAGTCTTCGAGTCAACCATCTTGTAGTCCAGAAACCGGCCTACAATAAATTTCTTGGCCCCAGCGTCTTCGGTTTTATATTTTTTATCCAAAGACTCCCACAGCTCTTTTGCTGTTTTGATAGAACTGTACACATTGTACAGTGTATCAGCCAAGCAGTTCATCACATAATTTCTACACAAGAAATCCGAGTGATTCCATGCATCAAGCGCACTAACCGCTTGAACATCCGAATTTTCTCCCAATTTTGGTGGATTTTCCGTCAAGAACCTCGCAAGGTTCAACGTAGTGAGATAAAACAGCATCTTTTGCTGCCAACGCTTGAAATTCAAGCCATTAAATTTTTCCGGTTTATCAGCATGATTTACCGGAACAGAAGGAGAAATAGAAATTGTAGTAGCACCACCGGTATTAGCAACGCCAATAGTATTTTTTTCAGCAGTCATCTTTAATAGGAATCTTTTTAAGATTGTAGGGAACTTTAACGGGAAAATGAAAATAAGATGGCTTAAATATATAATACTGAGGCCTGTGAGAACACAGTGTCCTTAAAACAGATTCGCTCCGTATGAGTGTCTGTTTCCCAGGATACAACGGAAAAACCGAAACAAATCCAGCAAACTAGAATTATGCCTGGACCAAAACACTTAAAAGACATATGGGGGAATAAGACTTTGAAAATATTTTATTTGGTTTCGTATCTCCCTCCTCAAAGAAGACCACCCTTTTTATAATGCTAAAATGATGTAACTAATACATTTAATTCAACTTTAAGGGTGTGATTGTATATAAATTCAATAGTAAAAAATCCAATCAAAACTCAAATTTAACTCAACTTTAACTCTACCCACTATCTTCAATATTAATAATATAATTAAATAATATCAACCAATCATTCTTACACATCACATCAACTTTAATTCACTATTCATCCACTCACATAATTCTAACTAACTATCACTTCCAATCATTTTTCTCATACTTTACATCAAATCAACTTTAATTATTTTATTTAAATATTATTTTAATATATCCAATAACAACTAACCACACCACTTTTTTTTTCAAAATTAACTATAGTTAAAAATAAACCAAATAAAACCTAGTTTTTTTACTATTGAAACTATAAACAATCACCACCTAATAAACTTAAAGTTAAAGATAGTTTCAACATTAATAAAACCAAGTTACAAGTGTTTTCTTAAAGTTGGATCACACGATTTCAAATCAATGCTTCAGTTACAAATTTCATTCACAATTTTCCAACAAGAAAAACATTGTAGATGCTCTAAATTCTAATTGAATACACACTCCCCTAAGTTTATAACTAGCCCAAGCGGGAGGGTTTTAATCATCTCTTCTATTCGTTCCGCTGTGCACAACTCATAAAACAAACTCATAAAACAAACTCGGTGCACCGTGCCATGGAAGAGCGCCGGCGGCTGTCACTAGATTTTGCCCACCACCAACAACAAATCTTTCTTCATATCTTCAGGGATTTTGCCTTTCATCTTTTCTGTTGCTGATTTACGCTAAGTTTTCCCCAATTGAGACGCAAAAATAAATAGAGAGCTGAGTTCCAGAAGCAATATGGCGTGCATTTCGTTGAACACCTTCCCGAGTGCCAGAAGTAATGGTGTAAATACGGCGTTTTCCGGGAATCCTAGTCACCTTTACAGTTTCTCGCCTAAGGTAATTTATCGATGTTGTTTTCGCGCCGGACCCATGAATTGGGACGCTGCGAACCACGGGTGTGGCCGCTTTGCTCGAGTTCTCCGTGATTCTTCTGGTGGCTTGAGAGGCGGCGATGGCGGCATTTATCGTCAGTCAGGGTTGCCCGATTTCAGCTGTCTTGGTTCAGTTAATGGGGCGCCCGCTACTTCTGGTGAAAACTTTTATCTTTGCTTACTTTGTATTTGATGCAGGAAGGTTTCCTTATCTCTTTTCTTTTTCTATTGAATTTTTCCTTTTCTAATGCTGAACTCTTTTTATTACTTGTGATTTTCTGTTTTCTTGCGTGTCTGGTTCATGTTACTGGCTAAGGTAAGGAATGGAATAATTCGTGGTTCGGTTCATCGATGTTTAAGCTAAAGCTTAATTAGTTCGTGTAACCCTAGCTGTAGGCTCAAATTTCTGTGGAATTTCCCTGCTTCTGTGTTCGGCACATTGTCCACTTATCCAGGAAGTGTAATTTATCAGTTTAAATATGATATCTGTAGACTATTCTGTTCTGTTGCTTATTCACATTCTCTGCATTAATGGGCATTGTAGTTGAAAGAGTGACTGTACTGGTGATTGGAGGAGGCGGAAGGGAGCACGCTCTCTGCTATGCCCTCAGAAGATCTCCATCTTGTGACGCTGTATTCTGTGCGCCTGGCAATGCCGGGATATCCAACTCTGGGGATGCTACTTGTGTTGAGTACCTGGATATCACTGACAGCTCGTCTGTTATCGATTTTTGCCGCGAATGGGGAATCGGGCTTGTCGTGATTGGACCGGAGGCCCCTCTCGTGGCTGGTCTTGCCAATGATCTTGCCAGTGCTGGGATTTTCACTTTCGGGCCATCCTCGGAAGCAGCAGCTTTGGAAGGCTCGAAGGATTTCATGAAACGGTTGTGTGACAAATATGCTATTCCGACTGCTAAGGTTTGATTATGTTTTGAAATAATTATGAAAGATGCCACTGGCATTTAACCTAATTAAAAGTAGATTTTAGAAGTTTGTTATTTTTCAAAGTACAGACATCCCTCATGGCATTATTCTCTATTTTATAGATGATACACTCTAGAAGTGGGTGTTTGGAGTGTATATAAAGCTCTAGGAGGTGTTTATGATACCTTAAGGGGTTATATGATATATGCAATGTTGAAAGATTGTTTGATTCCGATTTAAAATCATAAGCATTGAAAGCTTTGTTGTAAATTGAAAATCATGTACAGTTTACTTCAATGTGGACATGTGGCATTATATATTGTATGTATTTGTATACGTATAGATATCAATAAAATTAGAATAATGGCTCTGAGTAAAATTTTAGACATCAAATCATGTCAGAAATTTTATATTTAGTTCCCAGAAAAAACGAGTATTTGGGATTCAAATTTTTTTGAGCTCTATCACAAATATTCCATCATTTTTTTTTACAAATAAAATGGTTAATAACGATTAGTTCTAACCTCCAGGGTAGTTTTTGCACTCAGCACTAAATGGGTCTTTCGTGTTTTACCCAGTTGATAGCATTCTTTATCTCATTCACACTCTCATGCAGTACAAGACATTCACAGACCCATCATCCGCGAAAGCATACATCAAAGACCAAGGCACTCCCATAGTCATCAAGGCTGACGGCTTAGCCGCGGGCAAAGGAGTCATTGTGGCCATGACGCTGGACGAGGCGTATGAAGCCGTTGACTCCATGCTCGTGAAGAACTCCTTCGGGTCTGCTGGCTGCCGTGTGATAATCGAGGAGTATTTGGAAGGTGAAGAAGCATCTTTCTTTGCCCTAGTAGATGGGGAGAATGCGATACCTCTCGAGTCCGCCCAAGATCACAAAAGGGTCGGTGATGGGGATACGGGCCCCAATACTGGTGGAATGGGGGCTTATTCTCCCGCCCCTGTCCTGACGAGGGAGCTACAGTCAGTCGTGATGGAATCTATCATTTATCCCACGGTGAGGGGAATGGCAGCCGAGGGGTGCAAGTTCGTTGGGGTTTTGTATGCGGGTTTGATGATTGAGAGGAAGTCTGGGTTGCCGAAGCTGATAGAGTATAATGTGCGCTTTGGGGATCCCGAGTGCCAGGTTTGTTATCTCTTCTATTTTCTTTTATGGTTTATTTGTCATGATGTTGCAGAACTATACGGTTATCTTTCTTATTTGTTTTGATATATTGAATTTGATGCAAATTCTGGTCTATTACTGGAAATCGCCTTAGAATCTGGAACCTAATTTGGTGAAAATATTGTAGTAGCTTTCCAAGTTTTCTATGTATCTTATGTTGTCTTGTTGTTCCTTAACTAAGAGAGACCCAATAGGTACTCTTTATCTGTCTGCATTTCTCTTTATCTCTCTGCATTTACATGCTTTAATTCCTTAAAATGCAGGTACTAATGGTTCGTCTAGAGTCCGACCTAGCCCAAGTTCTACTTGCGGCCTGCAAGGGCGACCTGGACAGCCTAACCCTAGACTGGTCACCCGGGTTTGCCATGGTCGTGGTCATGGCCAGCAAGGGGTACCCAGGTGACTACCAGAAAGGGACAGTCATCCGGAACCTCGACGAGGCAGAGCAGGTGGGCCCCACTATCAAGGTGTTCCATGCTGGCACGGCACTCGACTCGGACGGGAACTATGTGGCCAACGGTGGGCGTGTGCTTGGAGTCACGGCCAGAGGGGCCGATCTCAAGGAGGCGCGGGACAGGGCATACGAGGCCATCGACCAGATTCATTGGCCGGGAGGGTTCAACAGACGAGACATTGGCTGGCGGGCCCTACCACAGAAGAATGTGAAGTGAGTGAGAGACTTTATTTTTCTTTATTTCTCTTTCTTTTTTTTCCTCCTTTTCTCTCCAAAATGGTTTGCGACGACTTTAGTTCGGCTGCTGATGATGATCTTGTCGAAGCAAGTGCTTCGAAGAGAGTGAAGGAATTGTTTGTCTTCATGTGATTTGAGGAGGGAAGATGTGCAAGGGTATCTAGTTGAGCTTAATAAGTGATTGGAGGTACAAAAAAAGGTTCTGGTACTAAATTATTTTGAACTGAAAGCCAGTCCCTCTGACCTGTTGTGGGTCTTTTATTTATTTGTTTTTTCTAATCATCCTTTTACACACAAAGTGTTCTTCTACTTTTGGTAACCTCAATCAAGTACTGACGGATAATGGAGCAAGAATTGCATGATTTGGGTGATTGGGCAAAATAGAAACACTAATGACATTATTATGAATATGAATTACAAGGATGAGGGATGCATGATGTGTGTACTATGGAGTAGGGTGACTAGTTTTTTTTTTTCAAAAGAAGAAAGTGAACATTAGAAAGTGAGAGATGCATGATTGTGTCATGTTGAGAGTAGGGTTCGGCTGATCCCCTTTTATGTTCTTAGGATTAGGATAGGATGTTTTTTTTTTTTTTTTT